AGTCTAAGCAACTGAACATCATATGTATTATGTTTTAATGTTACTTGATTATAGATAGTTAACAGAAAAACCCAAATGCCCTAGTACGGCCGAGAGTGGGGAGAGTCCGCTCTCCCTCTCGAAATGCTCTCACATGGCCACGCGTATATAGCCTCTGCCAGGGAAGTCCTACTCATTGCCTTCTCGTGGCGGCGGTGTTGTTTACGAAAATGAGAGGACGAAGAGCGAATGTCCGACGCTTTAACCGGATTCCAAATCAATAGTGCACATGTGCTCCAGTATCCTGCGGGAATAAATGATGTATGAACCAATCGTTGGTCACCGGCTACTATGGGACTGCATCTCCTTACGATGCTCCACTGCCTTGTGGATCAGGCCTTCAGGTCGAAGGCTCGGGGAGTGGCCCCCCTAAGAAAATCACCTGCTTCGATTTGGGCTCCCGGGCAGTATCACAGCTCATATGTATTTGGTGCCTCCTTGTACCAATATCTGTGTTAAAATAAATAGTTTGGATATCATCAACAAAGTGGTAGCACATCCACAATATTTATCTCATCATTAGAAAACTCTTAATCTAGGGTTTACTTCCAACTAACATCAACCAAATCTGACAAATAATATATACTTTTTTTAATTAAGTTATCATTAATTGATTTCTTCTTTGTTTTAATGACATAATACTGTAAATCATAATGTGATAAAATTACTCGTAATAGTTAATTATGAAAATATTATAATACAGTACCATATTGATATAAGTGTAAATGACAAAGTATTGATTTCATATGAAAGGAAAGAGTGATAGCATGCTACCTACATATAACAATCCTTTTTATATACTGAACTGTAGGAATTCTCCTGAATGAATCTATCTAATGTATAATGTGTGATTTTCAATGGAGATAAATGAATAGATTTTAGTAATATAAGTAACATCACTTTCTATTTCATAATTCAGCTTAACTCTATGGAAATAACTCACTTATATGCATATACATTACTGTATGGTATGTGTGTGTGTGTGTTTCTAAGTGGTTGTGATGGAGGAGGGAGTGAGGGAAGTCAAAGTTATTTTAATGGCTATCATCACAACTCTCAACATGATATGTATTATCCTTTTTGTAATAATGCAAGTGGAATTTTCACTAGTGATTCAATCATATTTGTCTATTTTTTGTTTGAATAGTTTAGAAATAGATTTTACATGTATTAATATGATTATAGTTGAGACAGCTATCAATCATTGCTTTGCATCAACGTCTTGCTTAACAGTGATATATATATTAAGATATTGATTTCTTATAACTTGTTTTCCTGATTGTGATCAATTATAACGATGATATTTGTTATATCCTAAGCCCCGTCGAATATCATGCACTGTACCAAACCAATGACACGTTAGCCAGTACGACCAGTGTAAAGTCAACTCTGAGTCTTTATTGGTTTTTCTCGCCTAACCTTGTCTACTTAAGTTCGGAACACAACATCAGCTTCCATTGTATGAATCATGTATGTCAGATATAAGCAGTTTATATACAAATAAACTAGACTACATCATACTATAAAACAGAAAATAACAATGATACAAGATCAAATCAAAAGTGACTGTGAGTAAGAGAGGACGTAACTAATAAATTGGGAATAACTTAGAAATAGTAAATCTGTCTCGACGTGCGATGTTCAATGGTATAGGAGTAAGTTGGAAGAAAGCTAGGGGCGGCCAGACCAAAACATGGCACAAGTCTATGAAGCCACTGACAAGTGAACTGAGTCATGTTGGTAGATGTAGACTACCTGGTTGCGGACCGCAAGATGATAGCAACCGATGGTTAGAGACCCTGAATGACATGGCTCAAAATCGTTTGCAATGGCGCAGGTGCATACACTCTTTGTGTTCTCCAAAATTCTAATCTCCTAAATCCTCCTTGTCTCTTTTTTTCTCTTTCTAAATTTATTTCACTGAATTATACTCTTTAAATAACATCTTCAAACCCCAACGTTTCCGATTACTGCTTATATTCTTACCGCCTCTATCACTACGCGATTCGAATCGACAACTGCATCTCTTTGTTAATTTGGTATGGCAACTCGAACTAATGTACGTACGTACGAAATTCTACGTTGTTACTGACTAAGTAAATCTTATAATAATAGTAAATAGGTCAAATGGAAGTTTAGAATAAAGCAAGTATGAATATACATATAATATGGTTACTCGATAGTTATACAATAAGAATATATGTATATAATAACAGTTTACAAATAGTGTTCAGACCTGTTTTTTGATTGATCTCACATAATATTCTGGCGTTGTTCCTTTGAACTATTTAAACTTGTATTAATTTTGATCTAGTTATTTGTTCTCTGAAGAAGTGGCTTACACTGGGTCACGAAACGTCAGAAAATCTAATTTTTCTACTCATTGAGACATTACAAATATATTACTTTCTTTACTCTGTCTAAATACAAAATATTACTTCATCAGATCATATTGTCTGTTTCAATGTTTAGTAGTCTGATCATGTCAGTCAATCAGTTATACGCAATGTAAAACCTGAAACATATGCACATCGGTTCAAATTTCCATACCACATTAGTCCAGAAAGATGAAATTGTCAACATGAATCCCATATTAGTAACAGTACTAGTGACAGTAGAAAAGACTAGGTATCGAAAATGTAATTCTACAAGAAAAGATAAATTTGTGAGAAAATAAAACTAAAATGCTCGTAAATTTGGGCACCATTTAATTAACAATTCTGCGTTTAGAAGCAGAGTATTAGGTAAGTATGAGGAATCAATTGACGGAGTACTTGATCATTATTGACCGAGGTGGGCAGGAAATGTACTACGTATCCCCCATCCATCGACTACCTTGACGCGTGATGATTGCTGATTTTCGAGTAGGTTAGAAGAAACATAGAATTGACCAAGCCAAGACATTTAAACAATCCATGAAGACACTGACTAGTGAACCGAGCTATGTAGGTAGGTATGGACTACCTGATTGTGATCCGCGTGATTATCTTAGCCAATGGTTGGAGACTTTAAATGACATGGATCAGGCGCACTCAGTCTTTGTTTTCTCCCACATACTAAATTTCTGAGTTAGCTTATAATCTCCTTTTTATTTCACCAATATCTATATTTTCTTCTCTCATCTTATCTTCTATACTTAGTCTTTTGTGTTACTTCCTTTACTACTCTTGCATTCGCCTTGACAATTTCATCTCGTTCTAATAGCTTTTGTGGCGACTCAAACCTATGTACACATGTACCAGATTCTACATTACATATGAATGACTGTCTGCTTTGATTTGACTATTTAATTAGTATCATTGGATTTCATCTTTAAAGGGTGATTGAAAGTGAAAGACAGTTACCTATGTGTATTTGGTCCAGGAATTATCTGAAGAAGTGATTCACTATCTACATTACTTGCTTTGCAAAGTTAATTTAGATTTTAAAGCATAAAATAGTTTAGTCTGTTTAATATGGATTTTTTTCAAATATTCGTTTGGTTTTTTACTGAATAATCGATTGTTAGCATTCTTTTCAGGCTTTCCTATTTTAACAATCAAATCATACTACTAATTATTAGAAAAAGTCGTACAATATCCCCGTTAGCTGGGGTTTTTTCCTAATATATATCTTATCTTCGCAACTGATCTTAGTTAAGCCACCGTTGGAAACCGACTAGTATTGGGACTTCTCAGGAATGCGCACCCACAACCCCCCTATCTAAGAGAATCAAATATAGGACTTTCAGTCTTGGGCGTAAACGCTTAACCTCTAGATCACTGAACTGGTACTCAGTGGTGCACATCTCTAACTTCAATCTATTCACGATACTTAGCGCGACCATGTTATATTGCCTTGGGGTGAATAACTGAACTCCACTGGTCACGCTTTCTTACTAGAACCTCAGAAGTTGTGTGTTGAAGCTAGTCACTAATGGGCTCTTGAAACTAGTATCATATTAGGACTAAATGACCACGTAGTCGTCGTAGGTTTTCGCTAGTGGTCTAGCTATTGCCAGTTCGTGATTTAAACTAGGAAAACTCCACATTTCTCATAAATCCTGTGTGCAAATATTTTATCTGTAATCAGATATTTATTATCATATTGTTAGTCAGTTGTAATCAACATACAGTCTCGTGTAACTATGAGTTACAATAAGTTACCATACCACATTTGTTCCCTCATTCGAAATAGATTTTGATGTACATCTGTTCAAACGCCTTCAGTTGAGTCCGAAAGCAGACCTGTTTTTCAGGAGGTAAGGGTCATACATTGGCCCAGTCAAAAATCATCAGATAATAAATACACAACTGACAAAGAGATGGCTTTCATTTTTAAGGAACAAACATACATGTGATTCGGTTTAACCGAACAACCGTTTTTCCTCACTCTCGGTCTTTTCCTTTGAGTAGTGGCCAGTTTGGCTAGTGTATATAAAAAGTGTGTTTCATCAAACACAATATATCACCACAGGACCTATGATCTTCATCGCACTGGAAAAAGTAACAGTGTGAAGCATCTCAGAAGATAATAACATAGACACATTTTACTGGATGAAATTCATGATGAATTGATGCGAAAAACGTCGACGTCGTCAAACTACCTCCCACTTGTTTGGAATTCGGATATGTAGGAATAGGTTTTTCGGGTTCATTTGAAAAACGTTGACTTAACCTTTTGATTTCTATATGGTTCTTTCTCCCATAAAGCACTATAGGATCTACATTTACCCACGTTATAAATAATGTGAATTTATTGACTCACATTGTCTTCGGTTTACCCGAATAAACCTCCTTCCTCATTATTATTTATCTTTTCTCTTAAGTAAAAATATTGTGCATATAAGTATTAACTGTCGGACATCCATGGGTCACAATTCTACTACTGATCAGTTTACAATTTTAATAACTCTTATAATTAATATCATATATTTATTCTTTTCTCTAATTATTTATTTATTAAACAACTTTTTTTCACAGTCTAATGGTTAATTGGAGATTTTCTCGTGGAGTAGAAGATCAAACAAATGCATTCCTTACTGGTTTCGAAGATGTATTTCCTCTTCAATGGTTACAATATTTTGATGAACGTGAATTAGAAGTTAGTAAATGTTCATCTATTTTGTTTTTCTTATTCAGGAGAAGAAAAAAAAACAATTCATTGAAAAGAAAATTGAAATATTTTTAAAATTTTTCAATAATCGTGTTTACACTGTTGAAATTCACATGGAAACAAATTTAGAACTTTCAAATCAAAAATTCCTAGTTTTGGTGATTGAACACTGATTGCTTATCGGATACTATCAATCAATGTTACCATATCACTCTATTGATCTGATGTAAATCCTATAAGTCACAATTTCTCATCGTAACATTCGGTCAGTCAGTCAGTCAGTTACAACGTACGACCAGGCACATATAAGCATCGGTCAAAGTTGCTATATTATACCGCATTAGCACAACAAGATGAACACCGGATCCATAAAAGTAGTTAATTCAGAGGTGGTAATATATAAAAGAAAGATGGCAATAAGGATATAGTACAGGAAGAAAGAATTAGTTAGTAGAAAGAAAGATATGAAGCGATTTTAATCTCTTAGTGTAAGAAAAGACAGAGTGTATACACCGACGCCATTGTGATCGATTCTGAGCCATGTCACCAAGAGTCTCCGACCATTGGTTACGATAGTCACGTGGACCCCAACCAAGTAGACTGCATCTACCAACATGGCTTAGACTAGAAGTTAGTGAATTCAAGCACTGATGCCACGTTTTGGTTTGGCCGCCCCTAACTTTTTCCCAACCATCCACAACACTAGTCAGCATTGCATGTCGTGGTAATCTGTGGTTAGGCATGCGTAATACTTGACCCAACCATCATTCCCTAATACCCTGAGTTTAACCTCACTATTACTTACCCGGTGATCCCAACAGACGCCAGCAATATTTCTAAGGCATCTGTGGTCAAATACTAGTAGCTTACGGGTGTCTTCTACTCTTAATGGCCATGTTTCGCAGCCGTAAAGTAAGACAGAACGAACTGCCGCGCAGTTGATAGACGGATATCTCGCCTTCGTAACATTACGCTTTAATTGATATGAAATCAGTTTGATATTTCTTTAGTTCATCCTTGAAACCTAATTTGTTTACTTCACTATATGACTGACAAGATTGTGTACGTTAACACAACCAGATCAACATGAAAATCACGTAAACCTTGAGTTTATTTTACTACTCTCAGTTGTTATCTGCATTCATAGTCAACACAGAATGTGATAAGTCGCCTGACCACATTAATCTGACTGAAAAGTAAACTGAAAATATGAATAGCATAAGTGTCCACAATAACAGTAATATCGGTGAGGAATCAAAAAGACCAAATATTGGAGAATGTGATTAAAAATGAAGAATGAATACGAAAAAGTAAAAAAGTACTGAGTAATATTAAAGTTTTTGTCCACCAGAGTTCTTGATACCTATATGGTTGCGGCACAGGGCTGAGTTAGATTATCCAAGTCGTACTGTAAGAGATTGTATAGTCTCTGATCCACTTGAAAACCAATGTGAAATTACCGTCTTGCAGGGTATTTACGTAATTGTGAATGTTAACGTTCCAAACGTAGAGGAAGACAAAAAGTTAATGGATCTACGCTATTTTTTACCGATTCTAAGCCATGTTACCCAACATCTACAACGATTGATCATGATTATAACATGAACCCCCTCCCCAACCAGGTAGTCTGCATCTGGACACACGGTTCAGACACAATACTCAGTGATTTGGTGGACTAATGTCACGTTCTGGTTTGGCCCTTCCTATCTTTCCTCCAACAAATTCCTCGTCCTGCTCCTATTATGCATTATGATAAACGGTGTTCAATCTTAAATAATACGCATGTCTTAAATATCAGAGTTAGTAGAGGTTAACATCCTCTTGAACCAATTTGTCATTATTTGCTCAGTACTCATAACATTGGTTGCTCAATTGTGCCACAATATGTGATTACAGCTTCACAAACTAATTGATCTCAGAAGCCTCCACTAAACTAATACCAACTGGAAAATTCCTCTCAGCTGGTTTAAAGATGAATCAAGCGTAGACTGACAAAAATTCCACATAATAACTATTGTATTTATAAGTCTACATTATCTTCACTAATTCAAATTAATTGATTTTACTCTTCCATCAAAGTAATCACCCAAAATAGATAATAATTACTCATAACACCATTGTAACCACTAGTGATCCATATCATCTAATGTTTTCATCCATTGGTCAAAATAATCTCTCAGACTCCATCCTACATACGTCGAATAATCACTGGCTTCATAGACTAATGCGATGTCTTGATTTGGTTATCATTGGTTTTATTCCATCCATGTTGGACCAGTTAAACGTCCGAACCTGCACAGCTAACCTTGAGTTCGAAGAGCAATTAGGTGCTAGCTCCAACTATCTCAAACACTCACGAGTTTTCAGACCTCACATAGTAAATAAGAAACTATACTTTGAATACAGTCACGAAATAAGTGGCAAAGGGTGAAACAATCGGTCCTCAATTAATTAACAATAATTAAGGAATAGTTAGACGCATAACGACAGCTAATATGTCCATTCGAAGCTTAAAACCAGGAGAATACATGAAATCATACAGTTACTTATTAATTACACACAGTTTAAATGATAATAATCCGAAAGATAACACCAAAAGTTCCAACTTTCCAGTACTCGTCCCTTGATAGCAGATCGGCACACATAACGCTTGTTCTAACCCCTTAAGTCAATATGGATTCATTACTTCGTCAATCAATTTACCATGAAATAATACATTGTAGATTGGTACACAGTGAACGTGTCTTCTAGTTGATAGACAGACAGACAGACGTCTCACATATGTTTTAAGTGACCTGAGTTGGTAAAAGTAGATCGAGATTTTATCAGACGCCAACTGATCAAGGCTGTTGTATGTAAAGATAGGAAAATGCATCTAAATTATACTTACATTGTTTTATTACATGTAGTAACCTACACAGGATGAAACTTCCTTATTTTACATAAACTAAGAACACTCGTTAATATGATAGAATAAGCTAAAATGAATCATAAGATACTAGTCTTAGTTGTTGTGTATAACTGATCAGTAATACTTTAGTCCTCTTTTAAAATTTGTCTAATTAGCGAAGTTTTAAGTATCAGTCATATGACCGAATTATCAGTTGCTGTTGTTATTCCCCTTTAGTTCATATTTCCAAATGATTTTTTTCATCTATCTAGTAGTAGTAGGTTGCCATAACAATATAATTTTATTGGATTTTCCAAGGCTATTTTCAAAACTTATCTATCTCTGTATTACTGTATTGGTAGTGTATAGTTTGTACAATTGTTTCCTTTTTTTCTACAAGACTAACCCATAATGTCATTGAATATTGATCTGATCTGCGTTAGTAGACTCATGCTTCTTGGTTAATATTTACAGGATAATAGACATCACTGGTTAGAAATGTTAAGTGGTATTATAACTCAGAGTTGATCGAAATAGAATAGTTACACTCACTGTCTACCTATATATTCAGTAGTGGTAGTGTGTAGTCTATACGATTGGCTTCTTTTTCATGAGACAATAAAGGATTTGATAGAAAACGTTGTTAGATCTTAAACTTTTTGTTAGTTGAACTAAGCTCGAAGACTTTGTGGTTACAACCGTCAACTTTGAATCAGTAATGTTAGGTTGTCGATTTGAACTGTCTAATTCACTTACTTCTGCTTAAACAACTAAGTTGTAGATTACCGGTATTTGTCACATAAATCTGTAGTTGGTAGGATATTTCTCCAATCTTGAAGAAACCACGATACTCTTTGTGGGTGATATTTATCAAAATCATATATATTACTTACTTACTTACGCCTGTTACTCCCAATGGAGCATAGGCCGCCGACCAGCATTCTCCAACCCACTCTGTCCTGGGCCTTCTTTTTTAATTCCACCCAATTTTTGTTCATTCTTCTCATGTCTATCTCAATTTCCCGGCGTAATGTGTTCTTTGGTCTTCCTCTTTTCCTTTGGCCTTGAGGATTCCATGTGAGGGCTTGTCTTGTGACGCAATTGGGTGCTTTCCTCAATGTGTGTCCTATCCACTTCCAGCGCTTCTTCCTGATTTCTTCCTCCGCTGGGATCTTGTTTGTTCTCTCCCACAGTACGTTGTTGCTAATAGTGTCCGGTCAACAGATCCGAAGTATTTTGCGTAGACAACTGTTAATAAACACCTGTATTTTCTGGATGATGGCTTTCGTAGTTCTCCAGGTTTCCGTCACGTACAGTAGAACTGTCTTAACATTTGTATTGAAAATCCTGACCTTGGTGTTGGTTGGCAGTTGCTTTGAGTTCCATATGTCCCTCAGTTGTAAATAAGCTGTTCTTGCTTTGCCGATCCGCGCCTTCACATCTGCATCAGATCCACCCTGTTCATCAATGATGCTGCCCAGATATGTAAAGGTTTTTACATCTTCCAAATCTTCTCCGTCAATTGTGATTGGATTGGTGCATTCTGTGTTGTTTCGGAGAATCTTGCTTTTCCCTTTGTGTATATTGAGACCTACTGCTGCTGAGGCTGCTGCTACACTGGTCGTCTTCTCCTGCATTTGTTGTTGCGTTTGCAATTGGAGGGCCAGATCATCTGTGAAGTCTAGATCGTCCAACTGCATCCTAGATGTCCACTGTATCTCGCGTTTGCCTTCAGATGTTGACGTCTTCATAATCCATTCGATCACCAGGAGAAAGAGAAAGTGTGGTAGTAAGCAACCTTGCCAGATACCGGTCTTTACCTCGAACGAGTTTGTCAGTTGTCCTCCATGCACAATTTTGCAGTGTAATCCATCATAGGAATTCCCTATGATATTGACTATCTTCTGAGGCACGCCGTCGTGTCGAAGAAGTTTCCATAGTGTTGTTCTGTCCACGCTATCAAATGCTTTGTCGTAGTCAATGAAGTTGATGTAGAGTGATGAATTCCATTCAATTGACTGTTCCACAATGATCCGTAGAGTTGCGATTTGGTCTGTACACTATCTATCCTTACGGAATCCTGCCTGTTGGTCACGAAGTTGGGCAAATCCATATATATATATATATATATATATATATATATATATATATATATACCCAAGTTTTTTTCACTAATGTTAACATTTTTCGCCTAAAAATTTCATCGCGTGAATATTTGAGCGGTAGATTTTGGTGTTTTTCTCGCAGCGGTCACTCTATCTGATTGTCCAATCCCAACTTCAATCAATTCGCAATGCAGTACGGAAACAATCCATTATCGTTTGTAATAATTGTGTCACTGCCAAAATGTTTGGATCATTACTTCTCACCAAAACTTAGAAAACTCATGTCACTGTAAGATCTGAAAGTTGTATTTAAAGACTGTTAAAGAGTCCTATACTAAAACGAAACAACTGTACAGTCATCCCTAATTTTTAGTAATACTCCAACTAAGATCAATCTGTGACGAATACAACCTACAAAATCTATTTAAGTTAACAGGTGATAATACACACGTACCCTATATACTTCAAAACTGAATATTCATGAACCACTAATTTGTATTTAAGGTGTATGTATGCCTCAAAGTTTACAAAAGATACTAGAAATTCAAAGGTCTATCTTTTGATGTAAAATAATATTGTGAAGAAGGGTTGATTGAAACACATTAGGAGTCGAAAATGTTGTTTTTCAGTTACTTCAGTTTTAAAATAATTTGGAAATTATTCAATCAAAATATTCACTTCAAAAAAAAGTTGATATGTTTATGCATTGTTAGCGTATGCTGGAGGACATGTGTGTGTGTGTGTGTGTAATGTTTAGGTTAAATGGAGGATATATCAACTAGTTAAGGATAACCAATTAGTTAATAAGGTGATGAACGTGCATCGATGGAGATAGAACATGTAATGGGCACTCTTGACCATTGCCTTCCTCGATATATCATTCTGTCTGATTGGTGCAGAAATAACCTAGAGACAATCAGTTTATGAAGCTATTGACTGGTGATTTAATCCTTGTCAACAGATGTACACTACCTGATCGGAATCAGCGCGACAAGCGGGACCACTGATCAGAAATGTCAGGGGACCACATGATTTAAAATTAGTTGAAGTGTAGCTGTTACATTCACTATCCATCAAGATTATTAAATATTTCTTATCCCGTTATTTCCTAACCTTATTCTCCACTATTTAATCTTACTTTCGATCGATTACCATGGTGATAACATTATTGATTCGGCTTCTGTGCTATCCCATCTCAGTGATCTCATCTCTTGTTGTTGTTGTTGTTCTGATGTGATGATTCTTCAGTCAATGAAATATTTGTATCCTGGTTCGATGTTGTATATCACTTTCTTTTCGATGTTTTCACTAATGATTCTCGTTTTTCTTTTCATTTCTTTGATTAATTAGGTTTTATTATGTGGTATGCAACAAATCGATGTAGATGATTGGCAATCGCATACAACTTATAAAAAATACGATGCTCGATCTCCACAAGTTTTATGGTTTTGGAAAGTAAGTTGAGTTCGATTTTCTTTTTAAAGTTATAGCAAATGTGTAATAAGTTTGTTCATTCGTTAATGCATGAACTGAAGTACATTTTATGTTGAGGAAATTATAACTTTAAAGTTGTCATACATTCAGAATTTAACGTTCAAAATTAAACTATATATCAACTGTTATTGCCTGTTTGTAACTACATCCCCCATTTACCATGTAACAGTGAGCTGGAGGACAATACCGTATCATATTAGATGTTTTGAGGTGGTTGGGAGGATCTTCTACTTGACCGAAGTTTCGTGCTGGATGCCACTCGTCAGCAAAGCATATTTGTAGTTTTGGGGAAATGTGTGCTTCTTGGTGGATTCAAATTTGTGTCATCCGGTTTTACGAATTGAGAAATTACCAGCGGGCTATTGGAGCAACGACTAACATCCTGTAGGATTGAGATAATTACTTTGATTGATGATTAAATAGTGCTCAATGTCATATTTGTAAAGTTCTACAGGGTTGATCGAATTCTATTGATCATCATTGTACAATGTATCCACTAGTCTAAGTGACTTGACATCGTGTGTGTCACCGTCTAAACAACTCAGTTTTTTTATTTTATTTTATTTGAACACATAAATACTGGTACAAGGGGGCACCAGATATATATGCGCCACAACTCAGTATTAACCTGCTTGACTGTGAAGTTGGGTGACACATGATTGAGTCCTCAAGGAAGGATCACTCCCCTCAAGACTATAGGTACACCTTGCTAACGAATGCCAAACAGCACGAAACCTAGGTATCAGAATTTCTGGCGTTATGCAAAATCCCTGAACGCCATGAGTAATAGTGTTTGACAAGTGTTGCACCCTCCCCAATTGCTTACTCTAAAAATAAAAACGAATATCATTTGATCATAGGTATCTTGAAGCATTGATCGCATGCCGTGTAATGATACATATATGTGCCTGGTCCTACGTTGTGGCTGACTGACCGTGTAATGACCAAGTGGACAATGCTGAGGTTAGGCAAACGGTATTAATTAGACGTGGTAAATCGGTTTGATGAGACCATCAATTTTAATTGGCTTTGGTGTTCAGGACATGTATTACGTATGTTCAACTTCCACCTACTTCAATCCTCATGTTAGCTGTCGTATTAACAGGTTTATAAGAAAAAACTAGGAATAACTTGACCTAGACATGACACCAGCCTATCAACTTATTGGCTATTTATTAGTCTGAGCCACTTTAATAAGTGCAGACTACTTATTTTGAGTCTGTGCGATAACACTGATGTTAGGTGACATAGCACAAATGGGTTCACTCTTTATATTCTCTATATCCTAACATCCCATATTTGTTCATTCTTCTTCTCTTAGAACCATATTCTCATTGCTTTTTATGTTTCTCTTCATTATTGCTAATAAAGATTATTTCAACTTCTTTACTATTCTTCCATCTTGTGAATTTCATCTCATTTTGATATGATATGATGATGTGATGCCTAGACTGTAACTTTCATTATAACTGATTAAGCACTAATTATCAATTAGATTATTCTAAGTTTTCTCATTTATATATATCTATACTATGATCATTTGACAGAGCATATATCTTATTACATATAAGCAAATTTTTATTCCATATTCAGTAATGCTGATTATTCATGTGTTTTGTAAAGAGAAACTAAATAACTGTATTGATTATATAGATATAGATATAGATATTAATGGTAACAGAAATTCTATGATACTCATGTGATTTGTAGGATTTTGCTAGAAGGTTTTTTTCATGGATCCTTTAGTTTCTAATAGACATGTACTTGAAAGACTAGGCGCTTGAAAGGTGGTTAAATTTCGATATTGGGAGGGAGTCAGTACAAATCCACAATGCTTGGTAAATTTAGAACGATTGAGCTACTACTCTACACTATCTGTTTTATTGCGTAAATAAATCGATGAAGGCAACTAACACACAAGAGTTCAACTTCTAGTATCTAACGCGAGAAGACTGATTGTAGGGAAAATTGGTATACGAAGTATATATATATGACGAAATAAGTACTCAAAGTGTCAAAATTTGAGTAGTTTTCTGATGATCGCCTTAGAAACAAATAAAGTTGTGGAATGTATGTTGTTTGATCTTGGTTTTAGTTCTTGAGGTATTTTCCTGTCATTTAAATCACAAACTGATCTCAGTTGAACCACTATTGAAAACCTGAAAGCACTGGACGGTCATTTCGTTCTAGTGTTGGACTCATCAGTAGTGTACATACACGACCCCCTCCAAAGGGAACTGAATATAAGACCTTCGGTCTCAAATGAGAACGCTTAACCTCTAGACTACTGAGTCGGTGTGTAGTGATGTTCGGGTGAAACTCCAATTGATTCGAGTTATTGAGCGACCGTTTTATATTGCCTGAGATGGATAATGATGGCTGAGCTCCACTGGCCACGGCCTCTCCAAGAGTTTCATCTTGAAGCTAGTCACTAGTGAGCATGTAATATTAGTGCCATATTAGGGTGAGCTGGTTTTCTGGTATCTCTAGATTCTCATTCAGGGTCTGACTAAAATCAGTTCGTGATTTAAGCTGTGAACATTCTAGTTTTCACTTTGTGTCAAATGTAAATCTTATTCCTTTGTGTTGATTTGTTTAACTAAAGCATTGCTCTCACTAGCACTGATGATCGATTGAACAATATTGGCGTTTGTTAGAAGTAAATAAAGTAATTAAGTATGAAAAGGTCAAGTGGTCGATTTTTAAGCTTATAAACCTACACTATGTGAAAATATTTTACGCATATCTTCAGTCACTGTCTAACAAATCCGATGTATATTACTGGTTGATAACAGGACTTGACTAACAAATACAACTTAACAGTAAGAAGGATATCATCAAGTCACTAACTGATAGTGTATGAGTGATGTTAGACTATACTTCATTGATGGCTTTCAGTAATAGTGAAGCTAGTTCCTAATCAGTCAAGATGCAGGTAATATGAATAAATAATTCATTGAATAAAAACCCAAAAACAATTATGGTGAGGAGTTCACTTTGGGTTCTAGAGTCGTTAGTCGAGACTAGAGTGGAAGAATGCTTTGAACTTAATAGTGATGAATAGTTCTTTGGATAATTCTTTGATTTTAAATCAAGAACTTTTATATTACCATGAGAAACTCGTTAATTATGTTATAACATTGTAAACATATTAATTTGATGTGTGTTCTGTTGTTTTTATCCAAGAAAAGTTAATCACTTTTCTATCATCACCTTAAAAGTTACTCAAGTTTGTTTTGCTCTTTAGTTGAACCATATTTATTAATTTTTTCGGCATATTAATAACTAAATATTAGGACATTTATCATTGGATTTTACATCCCATCTTGTGCTATTTTGATTCAATATATGAAAACTTCAGCAGTTGCGTATTTGTGCTATATTCCATGTTGATTATGACTATCGACATGTTTTCTCTTTGTAATAGTTAAGATCCCAACTGTTGTTGCTACCTCGATGTGGGGTCGGGCTTGCCTGTTGTGATGATCCAATATGTCTATGCTGGTTGAAAAAATCGTTCCTCAAGATCCTACTATGCCAGACAAGTTGGTTGAAGAGCGCTAAGACTAAAAGCACCAAATCAAAGGTTCGAGGGCGAAGTCGTACTGCTGACTGTACAAAGGTGTGACGGCAGTAAGGTGTTTCTTTCAGACAACCAGCATAACACCGATGTTGCGTTCCCACAAGGAGGGGTGGTTTTTAGAAGAGGTCGACCCTAAACATGCACATCTCGCCTTATTCCACAGATATCCGTCTCCGGCAGTAAGGTCTCAACAAGAACGGAGCTAACACGAAAACTAATCACGGAAAGGTCGTGTGTGACCGACCTTAAGCAGTTGTCCCTTGAACAATGCGGTCACGCTCTCAGATCACTAAGGCCACCTCTAATTCAATGACTTTCAGGTACCTCCAGAAGAACTCTTCCATGGTTTGGGCAACCGGGAATTGATAACCGCCCTCATACCTCTAACAACACTCAAGACTGATTGAATAGTCAAAATGTTAGAGCAACACAATAACAGCGGAGTTTTATAACAGGATACAATAATCTCAACATTTCGATCGTCTTAAACAATGTTCCAATCAACATACTTTCGACTCCTTAGAAAGCATCATTTGAGCTCGACCCCCAATTATTGTGAGTGTTTCTACGTGTAATTTGAAAGTGTAGACAAAAATGATTAGATTTCTGCATACGATATATTCTGGGATTTAGGTTGACAATTTCATCTCTCTGTGCCAATGAGGCATGGCAACATGAACTGATGTACATAGGTACCAGGTTCTATGTTGATACTGACTGATTGACTATAATATGTTTCCGTTTATTTTACTTCACCCTCTCTTCAGAATTTCACTGTTCTCTCCAAAAAATGTCACGTTGTTTCTCCTTTTTTCGTGAAAATCTAGTTCGTTCGAAGTTTAACTCAACAAAGACGTATTCGATTACTTCAGTTTGTCACTGGCACATGTCGTGTCCCTGTTGGAGGATTTAAAAATCTTATGGGTCAGTTTTGCTATTTCATTTCATGTTATTATAGCCACTGAATAATAATTATCGTTATTTACGAAGGGTAAACTGAGATTTTTCGGTAAATATGGTACGTGGTTAGCAATTGGATCCGGGACTTACAGTACATTTATCCCGCTTGGGACTCGTCAGCTGAATGCAACTTCATCCCGGTGTTGTTAATGTTTACACTGATTGTAATCCATTGTTACATCACTTCAAATCCCAACAATATTGTACACATTTATTATGGTGTTATTGTTATGCCACTTCTAACATATAAGTTAGTGTAACGCATCACAGTTACCAAGTATATTGATTAATGCTCCCAGCTTTGAGCTACACCATTCGTATAACACCTGTCGATACTATCCGGTTTCTCTAGCGCCATATTGAATTGGTGGCAATTCACATACGTCCAACTATCGCCTACCTCAACGCAAAGTAACGTTGACCGGACCATTATTTGTAGTAAGCTTGAAGAAAACTAAGAGGGCAACTAAACGTAATGGTGGCATCTATTCATGAAATAGTTGGGAGTTGGAGTGAACTATCTTGTGTTAGATGTAGACTACATTCAGTATGGCAACTTGGCCTTACGTTTACTTGTCCTAGGTTCTGTGTTCCTCACGACTGACTAATCTATTATTGAAAGTTGAGTGCTTTCACCATTCAGCTTACCTATTTACAACATATAATCTCTGTGTCGAGCCCCAAAATTATAGTTGACAGTTGACGAATACATGAAACACTGCAGAGACTAATGATCACGTACATGTCACTACCTTTAAATAGGTATATCACTATTAGCATCTTTGCAGTATCCCTTCTCATTTTTTTAATTTGTTCGTGATTCTGAAGTGTTTATGACATTCAAGAAGTATAGTAGTTATTCTACGTCACATATAAAAGCATTTGTATATATTTCAAAATTAGTTTGTTAGGCTAAAGGTGAATTTTTAAATGGTGCATTTTCGACTGAATGACCAGTCTTATCTAGAATCCCTAAATGCCCTCGTACGGTCGAGAGTGGAGAGAGTCCGCTCTCCCTCTTGAAATGCTCGCACACGGCCACGCGTATACAGCCATTCCCAGAGAAGTCCTACTCACTGCCTTCTCTCGTTAGGGGCGCTGCTTACGAAATCGAGAGGACAAGTAGCGAATGTCCGGCGCTCTAACGGGATTGGTGGATATGGAGAATCCATGTAGGGGAGTTGGAAATCCCTGATTACAAACCGATGGTGAACATGGACTCCAGGATCCTGAGACAATAAAAGGCGTATGAACCTAGTTCTGGTTACCGGCTTCCACGGAACGGCATTTCCTAAGGCTGCTCCACTGCCTTGTGGATTAGACCTCTGTGTGAGAGCCTCGGGGAGTAGCCCGCTAAGAAAACCAGTTACCTCGGTTTGGGCACCCGGGAAGTATCCCAGCCCTTACACAAATCAGATAATTTGTGTGGCGCATATGTATTCGGTGTCTCGTACCAATGTTTATGTGCCTAAATAAATGATAAAGTTCTCTACCATCCATTTTCGGTTTTGGTAACTTTTCACAAAACATGGAATACTACACAAACTAATACAGTGATTTAGGCTCATTTCCAATCTTATATATCTTCTCCGTATATATTCGGTTTTTGTTTAGTGCATCAATCCAACCCATATCTAATGAAAATGTTACGTAATCATAATCCCGGGTTTATGTTTAGTTTTTAGGAGATTTCGAATAATATCGTAGTCTATTCATTATATGCTCAAACTGAAGTCATTAGTAGTCTATTTTTACAAAATCCAAATTATATAGTACATATCCCTTTTAGAATTACTTTTTGTTTGTGACAAAACATTTGTCTCATTTCCGTTCTTTATTGTTTTCCAAGTATTCATAAGATGAAGTGCTGAAAAGACTAGGTTTGATATCGTGCACATGAAAACATAGTGTTTCATCAGCAACGACCATTTATATTTTTAGGTAACTGGGAGGTATAATCAGATTTTTCCTTTAGGCAACACAACATTCAATCTTTGTCAACTTGTGTTCATATTTTAACAGGTTCGGTACAATTTGTGCATGGAATTTTAAAGTCTGAAAACTAGACATAATCCTATCTGACCGGTCTTGACCATCACTACTGACCTATCGAGTTTCTTTATAGGATCAAGGACAATTTGAACGGATCCATACAGTATTAGATCCTGCCTTCCTTATATAATTTATGATTGACTCCTGTCGATATGTCATTATTCATTACTGCTTATTTACTATTTCATTTGTTTTAGGTAATAATGGTCCACAACCATTTTGTATTGAATATATTGGTAAAGATTCATGGCTACCTCGAAGTCATACATGTTTCAATCGATTAGATCTACCACCATATCGATCATATGAACAATTAGCTGAGAAATTATCTTATGCAATTGATGAAACAGAAGGTTTTGGACAAGAATAAAACTTTCTTTTTATGATTTTAAAAAAAAAAACACAAGAGAAAATTACAAATTATAGTGCCTTTTTTCATATGTATATCTTATAGACAGAATGAAAAGAGGGATGAAAGTGGAAAAAAGAAAACAAAGATAAGATTGAACGATAGATTATTTGATTACATAACCATTTGACTGAATTGTATTGTACTTTGATGCCAATGGTTGTTGTTGTTGTTTTTCTCTCTTTCCTATCCAGATGATGTGAACTTTGCTAGTTAAATTCATTGTTATTCATAACTATGATCAGATCTCTCTCTATATATACATGTATTATTTATAGAGAGAGATACAATTGAGAATTGTATTGTAACCCATTCTATCTTTGTCACACATACCCACACACACACAGGCATACATAATGAAAGACACTAATGAAGTGGTTCATTAATTACTTAATAAGAGAGACATACTATCAGTTGTATATTGCATACAAAATGAATTTAATTTTTTCAAGGCAATATAAACATTTGTCTTTCTTGTACTACACAGTATTGGTTCTCTATTCTGTTATTATAGGTTATCTAACTTGTTTGGAGTTTTTCTTTGATTTCTCTTTACTTCTTGTTTACTATTATTTCAACTATTGCTGTGATCTTCTCTCTCCCACATTGTGGGTAATATGAATTCACATTTTATTGTATCCATTCCAATGTTGTACACATATGTACACACAAACGCACGCACGCACATGCAAATCCTGATTATTATCATCAGTTATTAAAACCATTATTCAATCACCGTTTTCCTAAGTCAATGCGCGCACATAATGAAGGTTTGATGAAACATAAAATTAAATTCCCCTGAACCAACTTGTTTAAAACTAATTGTGTGTGTGTGTGTACAGATCTTTCACTTTATAAATATATTTGACAAGTTGTACGCATACTGTTGTTATGAAGCATTGTAAATGTTCTTTTTCTGTTTAGAGAGATGGTTTATTTGTTTTTGTTTTGTCAGTGAAAAACAAAAGCCATTTGTAATTCTTCTATTGACTTGAATCCACTATTCCTATTTGATATTGTTGTGCTTGGTAGTTGATTTTCATGATCAGTTACCCATATAAGTATAGATCATATGTATGACCTTGAATGTTGTTGGGAGTATGCGGGCGGTTGCATATACTATGGAAGGACACTTCTTTTTGAGGTGGCTGGAAAAGAAGCTGGATTAGTAGTGATGTTGACGATCTGGGAGCGTGGCCGTGAAATACGAGGGACAACTCTTGGAGGCCGGTCACATATAGCCTTTTGTGAGTAGCTCTTGATGTGCTAGCGCTGTACTTTCGAGGCTTAGCGGCCAGGGACGGAAATCCGTAAGGTGAGGTAATGTATGTTATTTACTGGGTCGACCGTTTCTCTTCCTCAACTAGTCTCTATAGTATAGTAAGATCTAAATGAACAAATATTCTAGCTGATATAACTCTTTTGGGTCATCTTAATATTCACATCCGACCGCTATGTAGTAGCAGCTACGGTCGGGGTTTCGGTGACACTACTTTTCCAACGTAGAATATAAGTGCCGAGGGACTTCCTATAAGGATCGACCTGCATTTTATCGATTGTAATGAAGTGACAATACCTAAGGATGTAGTTAGTGGGTAGCATGTAAACCGAAATAGGAAATCTTAAGCTAGTTAGTGCAAAGAAATTACTAGTTCTTTTATTGAACTACTCATTATGTCAGTTCGACTACTAAGAATAGTTCAGCAACTTATGTCCTAATATCAAAAATATGCATCGGCCACCGCATCAGCACAATGATATGGATTCCACGGTTATATAAGAGAGAGTTGAAGCCGAAAGAAGTAGAAATAAAGAATATGGTTGGCGAATTCATAAAACAAAAGGAATGGGATAATATTAAGACTCAGGATAGACTAACAGTGAATATATTTACGTCTTTGTTTGTTAAAATAATTTTAAAATGTGAATGTATCCAACTGAGTTTCTTAGCTGTCTGTGGGATACTCGATGTTCACAACCATACTTCCAAGACCTAGAAATGTAAGAGCGACCACAGTGATTTGTATATATCTAAGGTCTTTTCTGAATACTATCTTAATGTGCGGCAGTAAATACCGATGTGGTTGACCACTGAGCGTAGACTAACAAACACTAACTATTTAATGTGATTTCCTTTCCTATTATTGATTTGAACTTGAGGTTCTTATGATTGTGTTGAATAATTTATTGTCCTGTGTTCACCAAGTGAACGAGAATACAACTCTGAATCACTCGTACCTGTCCTTTACTCAACCAAGATGGATGGTGTTCTGTTATGCGATGCTAATGAAAGAATTGCACCGTGTTTCTTCGGTGGGATCATTTAGGAATTGTATTTGTATTGTAATTATCATTTCAACTGTTCCTATGAAGCAACTTACATAGGGAGTACAATTCGGCAAGTTCTTCATCACTATACTAAGAAACTTATGAAGAATTTAGAAACTTAAGATTTAGAGTAAGACAAGGAGTGGACGTATCCGCACTACTGTGAACAAATTTGAGCCGTCACACTATGCTGACTCCAACTAGATAGTCTGTACCTACTTACAGGGCTTAGTCCAATACTCATTTTCATTGGTGATTGATACCACGTTCTGGTTCGGACGACCCTAGCCTCAATCCAACCTATTCCTACATCATCGTGCGTCGAAGCAGGCGGTGGATGGGCATACATTATACATATCCGAACCACTTCAGTCGATAAAGATTCATTACCTCGTCTATCGATTTGTCACACTTAGAGCTTCGGGTTAAACCTCAGGACTTGATTGTACGAAACATGCAAGCAATGGTTCAAAGACACCCAACATCGAATGTCGGTACAAACAGGCATTGAAATAAATGTGCATCATACATTGTGAAGAGATATAAAAATAAGAGTGAGTATAATAAAAGAAGAAATAGATGAATAAAAAAACTAGGTGAAGTTAAGGTACAATGAGAGAAACAGTTGTTTCAAAAAATGAACAACGGAAAGAATCCTGTTCGGTAGAGGAGTTTCTTACTTTTGTGAAGAAATTGGAAAAAAATCACAGTAGGATCCACATTGGCTTCCTCTCTGAGTCATGTCCGGTTACGTTTCAAGCCACTGAGTTGAACTACCGCTCGGACCCCAACCAGGGACTTGTGCTGGACCAACAGATGTTAGTCCTACACAGCTTTCTCTCATACCCGTTGAACATGTCTTAAACCTACCATTTCACTTTCTCCAACCAGTCATATAGTCAGTGAATGAAGGGCGGTGTGGAAGTCGCCAAAATGGCATTTGTAGAGTACTTATTTATTTGAACACATAAATATTGGTACGAAGGGGCACAGAAGTGCTTTAAACACAATATTTTACACACAGACTAATATCGCGACACCACCAATCTCTGATTTCCAACGGAAAGCGTTGCAATACTCCCATGATTTTCATCTACAGTCAATAAATAAAAGAGAATTTCGGAGCTCGCACACGTATGCACTAATCTAAGCTCATACTTTAGATGTACATAAATTATATTAGCCGACCTCAGGCCACGCCATGCATTTATTTAACTCACTTCGTATTAATTCATGTACTTAGCTTCGCGATATACTGTAAGTGTGGAAACTGGTGACACCCACGTCTGTCCTAACTGAAGTAGGTGGAGTGAGATTCGAACCAGTGACCCATTACTAGTAAGAAACCGGATCTTCTAACCACTTAACTATGATTGCGAACCTATCACACTTTTCAACATACCAATAAAAAGTAAATGGTGGGAACGAATACAAATAGTATTTCTAAAGAAGAAATAGTGATAGAACAGAAAGCATCATTTGTAAATATTTCTTGGCAAGAAAGGGCTAACAGTTCGACTATTGGAAATAGTGTTTATTGAAATGCGTGAAAATCTAGTTGCCAACTGTTTGATCGAGAGAAACATAGTTGACATCCCACTTCAATAAGTAACAGGAAAAACAATATGTGAACTAAATTATTCTATTATACAATATATACAGACATTAAGGTGCAAACCATTTGCTACACCCTTTCAGAGGTTGAAGTTTGTTATTCTCTACCTTTTTGGAGACATCAGAAACGACTTCTTCAGATTTGTCAGCAACGCCGTCCATTAGAGTATCAGTAGCTTCTGATGGACGTTTGTCTTTGAACAGATCAGGAAAAACAAAAACTTCGCCAGGGGCCTAAACAAGATAATAAGAGAGGAATTACGGAGTTAAGTGGAATTATTGACCTAAACAATAGCTGACAGTTGAGTTACATAAGCAAGGTATCACTAAAGCAATTCACAGTTTCTAATTGATAACTGATTGCTAACGCAATTACTAACAGTAACCAAGCAGAGAATCCTTGCAATGCTGTAAAAGAAAATAGTCTTAACGTACGTTATACTGAGACTTTTTTCTCTCCAAAAATAAGCACATTCCTTAAATATGCAAAGATAATAACATTCTTATCGACAGAACTATGTAGTTGAGAACAAGCTGATTTACAAAAGAACATAACAAGCGAACCAAGTCAACAATCAGAACCCACTCGCTATCAAGAACGCTAGTTTTTAATTAAAGCAATTGATTTTCGGTATCTGTTTAAAAAGTGCCAGTAGCCTTATCACGGAAAATAGACCGAAATGACTGAGATCAATTACACTCATACTTAGTAAATTTCAATTTGGTTTTTTAACCTATGGTTATGTTTCCGACACATGATTTGAACACTGTGAAGATTTATTGGCAAGGCAAGGGTTCCTGTTAGTTTCGCGAGTGTAAATTGTACCTTGATAGAGCGAAATGCATGCCATAATTACGGACAACTGTGGTCAACAGAATAAGTAGATTATATGCAAGTCATATGACATCCCATAGTAAAACGAAGAATTATTTAGTAAATTAGTCATAAGCGTGTCGCTTCTATTTTCGACTACAGTTGTTCTTTTACATTTCAGCCTTTGAAACGATTTAGCAGCTATACGGTCGCAATGCAACAAAAACTGGTGTAAACCAAGCATCTAACTTATTTTTCTACATAACTCAATGCACCGTAATAAAACGCGGTTTGACTAACTAAAAACATATCAAAATAGTTTGAACATATATATATATATATATATATATTACAGAAAACAAGGTAGAAATATATGCTTGGTTAATGTCCGTTTATTAATAAAGGAGAAAACTTATAGAAACAAAAACCATTAGTAAATCAATCACAGATCGACCGAACTAAAGTCACAACTAAGCAGTTTAAATTACACTGAATACTGGAAAGCAAATATTACTTAGCTTCCAGAGTACTACTTAGATTTCCGTTCGTAGTACCTTACTACAACTAGTTTTGTGAGGTTTCTGAGTACCGACCAGTGCAAACCTAAAATCAAGAAAAACATGTTTTGTGCTACTACATACACTTACACAAAATCGAGTTATTGCTTCACTAATGATGATGAAAAAGTATGTTTCAGAAAGTGATTTCAACCATTAGACTTTAATCCATAGAACTAACGACTTTTACAGTCGTGTATTCACAGAATTCTAGCAAGATTTTTTAGCAAACTGAACTTCGATTTCACTGGTGAGTTCGTGAATCCAATTTAACTACGATTCACTCCAGAAAAGCATATATCACTTTTAAAATAATTGGTATGACATTTTTGTGAAGAAAACTGAACATTAAAGAGCAAAGTAGTTACGTGAAAGATCAAGTACTGAAAATGCATCATGGACGCTATGTCTCCCATTAAATTCAACCGACGAAATAGTACCAAGAAAAAACTACACAAGCAAAACCAAAATTGTCAGTCTCCCGAACATTCCAATAGTTTTGTTAATAACCAAACATTTATGTTGAGAAATATAATCATGTACAGAATTAATTCTTACCAAACGAACATATGCAACTTTTTCATAGCGTTCAGGTTTAGGGGGAAATTGTGTGGAATCGAGTGATCTCTGAGCTTTACGGAGTGGCGGCACATCAACTGGTTCTACTGCACGAATAGTTACTAAATAATTAGAATTTACAATCGTGATGAACCATCTTTACTCGAACATCTACAACAGGAACATTGTAAATCTTTTCTAGATACTGCTGTACGTCGCGCTTAGTCATTCTAAGATAAGAAATTACTAGGTAATTACTGTGGGTGGACTTTGAAAATAACATGGTTAGGAGGATTCTTTGGACCAGGATACATCATTTTCATCCAAAACGGAGGCAGAAAACATGGCACTGGAGGATCACCAGGAAAAACCTTGGGATATTCAACTTGTCGCCTCCACAAAGGACTGTCATAATCTGAAAAGTAGTCAGCTAACACCTACAAATAGTGTGTTGTTTTGGGTAAGCATATCGGTCGGATAAATATCACAGGCCGTACCCCAGGCATTTGAGTCTTGCGCTTATTAAGTCAGTTTCTTCACCCAATAACCGGTTGTTGTTCAAAACCAGTTGATTTGGACAGAAGAATGGACTTGTCGCCTACTATAGCCTTCAGCGGTACTTCACACATAATACGAAAATTAATTACTGACACAAGTAAGTTCTATTCATATATTGTTGATACTGTGTGCTTTAAATTTGAGGTCTTTCTTGCGTCTTGTCAAAGTTCTAGACTTCCTGGGATTATAAGCATTTTTTGGCTTATTTTAAATTCACACTGGTGTAATCCTTATGGTTTCTTTCAGCTCTTCTTGGTTTTACCGTTTTTGGTAGCGTTCTGTGTGGAGAAGTTTAGTCACGTGTTGCATTATGCCTAGTATGCCCGACAGAGGATCAAGAATTTCTGTAACATCATGAAAAATATAAAGATGGAAAAAATCTTAAGATGAATCGTATATTCTACTTTGGAGATTTTTTGTTAGTCTTTCTCCTGAAAGGACAAGATTGGTCAGTCGAAAAAATCTACGACACTTTCTCACTTAGTTTCATATCACCTTTACAATAATCTCCAAATTTGTTAAGGGTAACGTTGTTGGTCTAGAACAAGTCCGAGTTCATCTAACTCCTCATCTGAAAGGAGGATGACCTGCTTTCAATACTTGGGAGCTGGAGCTATAGCGATCTCTGAAATGTACAGGATACTAACTTCCAATAAACATCTGAACTAGCTTCCCGGATGAGTTGGACATACTTTGATAGGCTAAAGACCTTTTGTGTCTCAGTTTTGCAGGTTGTTGTAACGAAAAAACATAAGTCTCATGAGACTCATCATTTAATTACTCAGTTCTTCCTGGAGTATTTCTTACATATGTTAACTATCGGCTTGAAATGTCATGTTCATATCCTGTTACAGCGACTAGAGGATGCAGTCCTTGCGAAAATCCGGGTTTTTTTACAACTATTTCAGCTTCTTATGACTTTCTGCATTTTATTCTGTAAAACGATAATGTAGTGCTAAATTTTTACAAGTTTAGAAGCTATTTGCGTTTACAACTTGCAAGCGTCACTTAGTTGTCAGCCTTAAATAACTGCAAACTAGTTATAAACTGGTTACGAAACTAAGGAATGCTACCAGTAATCCGTCAAGCCTTCAGAAGTCTTAAAAGCTGTCTCAAGTTTAAATCTACTCAAAAATGCTATATTTCCTGGCTATCATATAACACTGTTGTATAGCTGATATTACCTACTGAGCAAAATAAGCTTGTCAGGTCTCTCTCCACAAACATTTATTGTATAACTCATGGTTTATGACGAGATAATTGGGAAATGAACTAACATTCATTAGATTTAATGCAAATAAAAACCAGGTTTGAATGCTTTGGCATTTGCTATCAATCATTTCAAAGAAATCTGTTTTCACTCCTCGTATCACCGTGCCCATTTTTCTGCATTTTCCTTCGTTCGATACCCAACACATCGATTGCTGTGGTCAGGAGTGATATGTTAGCACTTCAGATTGACTTATAATTAGATGTTTTGTGAATCCTGTAATGGTAATCCAGTTCTGTGGCGTAACATGTTTTGAATATGTTTCCGTTGGCAGAAATATGCTGTGTTATGAAAAGGAAAACTGGTAGAAGTAATTGAGTGTGTCATACAACATAAAACGGTTTGAGTAGCACTATTTATTGCTTGTTAATAATAATAAGCATTTATGACGAGTAGAGTGAATCAACTGAAAAGCAAAAGTCAAAGATACGGTTAGCCAATATGGTAAACACAATGATAAAATGTTAAGCAAAAAGGAATACAGTCTGTAAAAAGTCAAACAATATCAAAGATTTTATGAGGGTTAGGAATTGCAGGCGACATTTTGTTGATGGCTTTGAATAGGCCAAGAAATTGATATGATGTGCATGAATGAGGAGAGGTAAGGAAAAACACTATATATCAGCAAAAACAAGGTACGTTTGTCATATGAGGAAACTTTTACACACATACATGCTTTTAAGAAGAAAGATCTTAGAATGCCGTGGGATCCATTTTTTATGGTTTCGCATGTCTAGTTATTTGGGAAACTTATTTACCCGTCTTGCATCTCAATAACATTCTGTTTCACTCTTAAATGTACGTTGATGTGTATTTCCCTTACTCTTGGCTCTAAATGAAACTAATATTGATCCATTTTTGCGATTTCGGTTCTCTTAATTCATCACTGCACTTATGTGCATCTACAGAACTGTGTCGAATTTGTTTCACTGGTTTATCCTGAGTTTTTAGGTTCGAGTTTTTACCTTCATACTTTATAGTTAGATCTACAATAGGCCACAACTCCTTAATCAAGTGGGACTTCTGCTGTTGACAAGTATCCAGATACATTGTTTGAGGCTTCATAGTTTGGTTTTACAGTAAAAGTATTAAAAATTGATCTGTTTTTGAGTGAACTAATTTTCTGAATGCTTGTTATAGAACTTCATCCCTTGCTATTCAGGGACTCATTTATTATGCTGTCGCATTCCTTAGCAAGCATCTGCTTGATTTAGTTTTGATTCGGTTGCGTACATCTTGCTGAACGACTATTTATGGTATAAAGTCCGGTGATACGACCCGTTAATGTACTTTTGTATTAATTACATTCATAATTCCTGTGGTTATCTAGAGGATAAATTGAACAGAAATGAAAACATGATGAATGTTAAAACACTACAATAATAAAATTTATAGACTCCGTCTGACAGCTGGATCAATTTTTATTTCCCTACAGCTTGTAGCGTCGTGTCGAGTCGAAATTGACTATGAACACCGCTACAAAGGAACTCGTGTGAGGATATCCATAAAATCCTTCAGAAGGCAATTAATGGACCAAGTCGAGATATATTTGCTGGCGATCTCGCGGTATCGAAAGAATACCGAGATACAAGCTTGGTTACAGATCATAAACGAATTCGCGCGACGTCGCAATCAAAGTGTAAGAATAATGGATGCTTTTTAGCACAGTTAAACAAAAGCACATTAAAACAGTCACTGGTACAATTGGTTATAATAATAATTGTTTCCAATAAACCAATCGTGTTCTCGTGACAAAAGGGTCACTACAAGCCGTTGATGGTTTGACAAAAGTTTAGTATGTGTTATTCAAGAATTTTCATTGATAATGATCATAGCGGTTTTGTGAACTTATTTTATACTTTATCTTGCATTCCTGGCTGAGAAATTTCACTGTCTTTAGTCAAATCATGCACTGTGAATAAGCGCTTCCACGTTAGAGCGTAGTGACATTATGCAAGCCAACAACTATTCCCTCCCACATGAGTCGTCGAAGTTTGATATCACGGTATCAATCAACCAACAAACAGAAATTACGGTACATTTTAATCTGCCCTTGTTATTGATAGTTGTTTGTAGTACAGCAAAAGACGTTTTGATATCTCAAGGTCATCGGAGGTTGAAGCGGACCTGGCTTTTCTGTAAATATTTATTATCAAGGATGAGTTAGTATGATTTTCTTTCCTTCTTACCTAATATAAAGCAACCTTAATTACTGTAGTCGTTTTCCTCACGCTTTATGTTCCAGACATACAAATCATTTTGTTATATATCTCTGAAACTTCAATAAAACTCTAATCCTGCTAAAGATGAATATACTTTTTCTAACCGAAGGGTGACAGTGTTGTAATGTTTAAAGCGAATTTGCACGTAGGCCTCGGGTAAGGTTGAGAAGATCTCGGAGATAAGCATCTCGACTTTCGTACAAATAAAATAACTTGATGTTCAGACTTTAGGTGAAATACACGTCTATTAAGAGTGAATGATGTTCTTAAATCACTATTTTCCGTTATGGGTGTCTTCACAGCATTGCCCACATAAGTTGAGTTTATCAAGCGGGCTATACTGAGGTTAGATGCATGGTGCCTCCAAATGTCCTAGTACGGCCGAAATTGGAGAGTTAACTCTCCCTCTCGAGATGCTCTCACATAGCCACGCGTATACAACCATTGCTAGGAAAGTCTTACTCACCGTCTTCTCGCACCACGAGTGTTGTTTGTGAAATTGGAAGGGTGAAAAGCCAATATTTAACGCTTTAAACGGGTTGGTGGACACGGAGAGTCCACCTAAAGAAATTGGGAAACCCTGTTTCTAAACCAATGGTGCACATAGCTTCCAGTTTCCTGAGAGAACAAATGGTATATGAACCTATTGTTGGTTACGGCTACCATAGGACTGCATCTCCTGACGTTGCTCCACTGCCTTGTGGATCAGACCTTTAGGTAAAAGGCTCCGGATGTGGCCCCCTAAGAAAACCACCTGCTTCAGTCTAGGCACTCAGGCAGTATCATAGCACACACAGAAATCGAGTGGATTGTGTGGCGCTTATGTATTTGGTGCCTCTGTACCAATATTTATGTGTTCAAATAAATAAATAAATAAGATTCATGGTACTAGATAAAGATAATAAATTTTTTAACAAAATAGTGAATTGTCATCATGTATTACATATGATCAACTATCGCCTACCTCAAAGCGTGATGCTTGCTGAATCGGGAGTTTGTTGAAAGGAAGCTGATAGCGGCAAAACCAGAAACTGAGATTAGTCCATGAAGTCATAGACAATTGGGATGTATGTATTTGTCGGTATGTGCAGACTATGTGTTTGTGGTCTTTGCGATAACCACGATCAATAGTTAGAGGTTTTAAATAACGTGTCTCTGGAGCGTTGATAGTGATCCTGATGCATTCACTCCTTATATTCCTCTCAATCAAGGATTTTAGTAACCCTTTCGAATCTGTATTTTCAAATTATATTCGTAATGTGTGGTTTGTCTTTTTATCATTACTATTACATTTTTTAGACTTCTTTTTTCGTTTCCCTCTCGTCATGGTAGTCGGGTATGGCAACATGGTAACACACACCTGGCCCAGGCTCTATATTGATATGTCTGTCTTACAGTTTACGAGTATTACAGTATTTTACGTGGTTACAATCATATATACGGTTCTCAATAAACCAAATTATTATTTTTTTTAAATAGTATCCTTACTACTTGGGCTTAGCTCGTTAACTTGTTATTAACGTTGATACGTATTTTCAACTGAGCAAAATGGCGACCTACTTGGAGTTAGACAAATGCACTTTATTGTGTTCCTGCAAACAAACAAATCCATTGTGTACACTGTATTTTTGCCGTCATTGTTTATGTCTTCGATGCCCTAACTGTGTTTCACATGAGGTGAATTTTTTATTTGACCGTTCATATTAGTTTATATATATTTTGTACTGTTTTTGTACGTTGTGTGTACCAAGTTAACTACAAATAAAACTTATTAAAGATATGTTGTTACAAACTAGATTCCGGTATACTAGTGAGTTTGATCAAATATACATCTTTCACCAACAAAAGGCCATTAGCTTAATAATAATAATACAAATAATATATTTGATGTTCTGTGAAAATTCGTTTAATTTTAGGATTGTATTGGTCACAATTGTCACCAATGAAACTAAATGATTGTCACGCCATATCATAGTGTACTGTCAGTTGGTGACCCAGTGGTTCTAATGGTCAGGCGTTCTCCACGAGATCTGAAGGTCCTGAGTTCGGTCTTCAGTGGGGTTATAGGTGTTCACTACTAAGTAGTCCTATAGCACAGCGAAGCACCTACGAAACGTTCCTTTCAATGGTACTCCATCCCAGTTCAATTTGTGACGAACAAAGCTTTCAGATACCAACAGCAGTTAAAAGGAATACACAGGGCAGTCCCCATGACCGAAAAAGAAATAATCGTTAATGCCTGATAGTCTAGAGTAGTTTTGGGGCAAATTCAAAAACTTAACACCACAATTTATGACCCCGTTTCAGCTCTCAGTGGCTTTCAATGCGTAAACTAGCAGTTTTAATAGCCAATGTTAAAAAACGCATCTTGTCACCATAGTAAACTACTGATGGCTTTAATATTAAGCATACTAATTTTTCGAGCAAACCATTGGTGATCAAAGGGATCTTTCATGATGGTCTGTGTATGTTTTTCAGGGTCGAACAATATTGTTTCATTATTTCCTACTCGTTTTCTCCCCTACAACAGGTAGAGAATAACTGTCGACTTTGTGTTTCATCACTCCAGTGTCTTGTAGAGCTGATAGTACAATTAATATTAAGTAGTAGTGTAACTTATGTAATAAGTAGGTATTTCCTGCACCTAGCTGTAGTTCATACTATATTGTATGAGTGCTAGTGATTCCAACTGGTTTCCAAACATAAAGTAGGTAGAATGGGTTTTGAACCGACCACATATTCGTTGAAAGTTAAGAAACTTACACGTTAAACCAAGACTCCACTGCATATGAGCTCTTCAGTGAATGATTACTTCCTCTGACGTTATAACCCTCACATCCAGTGTTACCACGCTCAGAGACGTAAAGTTATTTTCGCGTTAAATGAAGTAAGTGGTAGCTAAGCGCTAAGAAGTGCCTTTTACTACATGAAGTTTGTGGAGATTGTTGTATTTTATGGTTTACATCGCAGGCTAACCTTATCTAGACAACTAATAAAAATTAGGAACCACTAAACAGCTGTTTTTCGTAGTATGGGAATCCATAGGAGTGAGCATTCACAATCCTCCCAACAACTGAAGCCAGAACCTTCAAATCTTGGCGAGCACTCAACCTTCAAACCACTGGGTTGGAATCCATTCTTTTATATTTCTGACTTCGGTTAATTCACGAAATTGCGCAGTCATTTCCAATATCATTGGTGGAGTGAATTTCTCACATTCTGATATGATCGGACTCCGTTGTCTAACAATGGTCAGTCTATGATGTAAACTATGAACTGTATCTTTCCTATTATGCATATATTCACCAAATCTTTCATCCATTTATATGCTCAGGTGGATTCTTATTATTGTCCTAATTGTCTTGAAAATATGGCAAGCGCTGAGGCCAAAATGCGTAAACATCGTTGTGGTAATTGTTTCGATTGTCCAAGTTGTGGTCACACACTGTCTACACGAGCAACTGCTGTTGTACATGCAAAGCCCGATGAACCAGGTCGAACAACAGCACAAAAAGCATATTTTCTAGCATGTGGGTTTTGCCGATGGATTACACGAGATAGTGGTATACCAGATCAACAACAAGCTGCTGGAGGTTGGCAAGAGAAAATAAGTCCACATTTTAAAAGGGTTTGTTCTAAATTATACCTTTTATTGCTTTTAAATGTGTGTTATTTCGGAATAATTTTTGACTGTTGCATTGAATTTAGCATAATGGAGCCAATAGCGCGTAATCATGACTTTAGAGACTATCATATAAAGGATCATTATTTATGTTCTTATTGTTTAGTTAGAAGATGTTTGGATTGTTCTGTTTTTAGATTCTCCTACTACTAAGCCTTCATTTGGTTTATAAATCGTTGCCATAGGTCTCATTATCCCATACTTGCCGTTAATTAACTACTCTATTACTCTGGTCTTGTATCACTTACCGCTGGACTATGTACACTTTATGATTTTTTAACTGTGTTGCTATGTGGTCAGATAGTTCAAGCATATTATTGCATGAGTTTTGAGCCACAATTAAGTTAAGTATAAAGGGGAACTGATCTATTTTCTGTATTTATCTTCTATTTAGCCAATAGGTTAAAAGAAGCTCGAGGAATAAATAAATTACAGACACCTAATGAATAGGATGAGCAATTAACACATATGATCATGTAAAAACAGTCAGGGTTAGTAAGTGAATAATTGACAAGATCAAAATGTGGCTTGAGAAGAATGAACGAATTGGTCTATCCAGAAGTTAGAATAGCTTACGCGGGCTTGGCATACTACCGGTCACTACAGTAGTATAAAAGATTAGACACAGAATAAGATTTGAGGGGAAAAAATAAACTTACGAATAAAAAGTATACTATGGATTTGAAACTGAAGATCTAAGGAAAGACAAATAGCGAATGGATCTGCACTACTTTGACTGATTCTGAGCCATTTCACCCAACATCACTGATTGTGGTTATCAGGCGGACTCTAACCAAATATTTTACACCTACCAACTGGATCCATAACAACAGACAATGATGTCATGAGCTGATAACATAAACGAATTGTTCACCGCTATATTTTTTAGCTTCTACCTCAACCACCATTGGATATGAATGTTTAGCATGTGTAACACATCCTCTGACCATATCATTCAATGAAAATTCATAATCTATTCAACATATCTACTGTCCTCCCC